ATATGGTAAGAAAGAATCAGAGTGATTTATCATTTGTCACATCAAATTACATGTTTCAATTGATAAAGATATCAGTTAGGCTAGCAAAACACTGTGATACAGCAAGAAACACAAAGAACTAAAGTGATTGTAAAATATAAATTATATATGTGATATTATAATAATTAGAATATATTTATAAATTATTTATTATTAAATAATATTTATATATATTGAAACATATTTTGATATTGGAAAACAACAATAATAAAATACAAAATAATTTCATTTTTATCATATAAATATTTATATGGATTATAATAATATTTATATAAATTAAAACGTTTATTCTCGATTTTAGTATCGAGAAGTAATTAATTGTGAGACATAAAACATTTCCAGATTGATTGATGTCTTGTAAGATGTTTAATGCAATAATTATACATCTTCTAATGGCTTTTAATGAACGAATAAAAGAGCTGAGTATACGTTTTCAGTAATTTACATTTTTTCGTATTTTAGTCATTTACATTTCAATACTTCGGTAATGCATGGATAAACATGCTTACTACGTTACTATATTACAAATCTCTTCAGCGCGTTTAAACATGGTATATACTGTTACATATTAGTCGTTGGAAACATGAACAAAGCTAGCGTTATCATGGAAACAGTATTTCTTTCTTCTTATCACTTTTCTTCCATGTAACCGTAGCTCGACCACAGAACCTTTGATTATATTGTATTATATTGCAGTATAATACTGTCACAACTAGACTGCGGATATTTATGTATTTAAAGTATAGCAGTGTATGTAAATAAGCCATGTAAAACATGGAAATATAATATGTGAACATTTGTAGTTGAGATATGCAATAAAGGTATTGAAAATATATTATAGGAATGGGCTGTTGTATAATTTAAATTAAACGAAATCTTGGTATTTTTTCTATATATTATTTATAGTCAATTTGTGATATTTATTTAAAGTGTATCGAAGTTCATAAAGTGCATAGCTTGAATAGAGTATGTAGAATTGAATATGAATAGAATTCAAATGAAACACCCTGTATGTATCACTTAAGTGTTGTTATAACAATAGCTAGCTACTGAATCTGGTTTCGAAGTTCATAAAGTGCATAGCTTGAATAGAGTATGTAGAATTGAATATGAATAGAATTCAAACGAAACACCCTGTATGTATCACTTAAGTGTTGTTATAACAATAGCTAGCTAATAATAGAATTCAAATTAGATACCCTGTATTAGTTAAGTGTAGCTATAAAATTAACTGGCTACTGAATCTGATTAGTAATAGAATTAAAATGGGACACCCTGTATTTACCAGTTAAATGTAGCTGGAAAAGTAGCTAGCTATTGAACATGATTAATAATAGAATTCTAATGGGACACCCTGTATCTATCAGTTAAGTGCAGCTATAGAATTAGCTGGCTACTGAATTTGATTAGTAATAGAATTAAAATGGAACACCCCGTATCTATCAATTAAGTGTTGTTATAAAAGTAGCTGATTATTGAAAATAATTAATAATAGAATTTAAATAATACATCTTATATCTATCAGTTAAATGTAGCTGTAAAAGTAGCTAGCTATTGAACATGATTAATATTAGAATTCTAATGGGGCACCCCGTATTTATCAGTTAAGTGTAGCTATAGAATTAGCTGGCTACTGATTTTGATTAGTAATAGAACTCAAATGGGACACCCTGCATCTATCAGTTACGTGTAGTTATAGTTAGCTGGCTACTGAATTTGATTGGTAATAGAATTAAAATAGGACACCCTGTATCTATCACTTAAGTGTAGCAGTAAAAGTAGCTACTGAACATGATTAATAATAGAATTCTAATGGGACACCCTGTATCTATCAGGTAAGTGTAGCTACAGAATTAGCAGTCTACTGAATTTGATTAGTAATAGAATTAAAATAGGACACCCTATATCTATCAGTTAAGTGTAGCAGTAAAAGTAGCCACTGAACATGATTAATAATAGAATTCTAATGGGACACCCTGTATCTATCAGTTAAGTGTAGCAGTAAAAGTAGTCACTGAACATGATTAATAATAGAATTCTAATGGGACACCCTGTATTCATCAGTTAAATGTAGCCATAAAAGTAGCTGGTTCCTGAATCTGATTAATAATAGTATATCTGGTGTCTGCTATGTATTGAGAGGCAGATGTTAATAGAACTAGCGAATCATTGGTCAACTCCAACTTGGGTAGCCGTCTAGGGTTCCCTAGCACCCCGCCCATCTTGCTAACTGAGGTATTAGCAAGGTGGTGCAGACCAATGGCAGGACTGGGTCCAAGGGGTAACAATCCTCGTGCCTATGAATTATTCGCGTGTCATGTCAAGGACTTACGACATGTCTCGTGCTATTGGAGATGACACCATTGTGACACCAGGCTCGGACTGCTCCTAGAACCTTGACATCTGTCTCCAACATTCACTTCTGACATAGAAAACTTATAGAGTATTAAATTTATTTGTAGACTATTCAAATTTGTCTTCGTTTTCTCGGAGATAATCTAGTGGAACAATTATGTTGCGAACTCTACTGTTCCAGGCAAAGAAATATTCATTTATGCAGGAAAGTATTCGAATACTTACATTCGCTGCTTTTAGTAAGCGAGGTATCTGGATTAAAATGTTGGAAATATTTTAATAGACGCAGTAAGAGGGAAATCTGAAGATTCTATCGGTACAATTGGAAGGTAATTTAATAACGGGTGTGATATTCGCAAAACACGCAATCTATGATCGGTGGATCACAAAATGAATGGAATATGCATCATTCCAAGATCAGTGGATCGCAAAAGTATCCAAACGTACTATTTTATGTTTGACAATGCTCAAAAATAGTCAAGTGGTCAAATGGAATGTATAATAATACTCGAAAGTGCCATAAAGGATTAGGGAAGATTAACCCTTTGCACTCGAGAGGTGAGACTAAGTCACCAACCCTAAGCAGCGAGTGAGCACTAGGTGCCTAGCACTTACTATACTGAAGCACTATACTGAAGAGTATGAACAGAAGATTACTTTGTTTCACATTGTCGTTTGGACTGTGAGAATGGTGCAGCCAGTGTGCAAATATACAAATTATAAACAGAAGATAATGGACTGGGGAATGCCAGGAAGGCAAAAGGCGATCACCAAGAGACTATCAGTCAGAAAAAGCCACGAAAGTGTCAAGATTTACTTCAGCAGAGGGAATTTAGTTTCTACGATATATTAATTGTCATCAATAATTTAATCCTTGACAATGTCGGTCTCACACACCGAAAAGTTCGCTGTCAGACCCTAGAATCCACACCGTCCAAACTAAAAGTCTACTGTCAGTCCCTAGGGACTAACGTAGCACTCAACGTGTTAATCAAATTCCAAAAATCCATGTTAATTAACATATCAAATCTAAAATAACCTAAGATTGCATAGGATGCCGAAATAAAATAATTCTAAGTCTCAATTTATACCCGATTCCTTATTTACCGTTTCAAAAATATCCTCGACGTTACAGCAGAATGACTCTGAATTGCTATTTCTCTGTAACGAAAATAATCATCGAGTGCAAAGGGTGATTAGACTCCTCCGTGATTAGCTCCGTGATTAGGCTCCCCTAAATGCATGGTAGACGTTTGAAACTGATAAGGTGTGGTGGAAATGATTGCCCTAAACTATATTTATTACTATGTTTATTGACAATACACTTACGAAAAGTATTAAACATAGCGTTAATGTATGCTTACTAAAATATGTTACAATAATCTTCACACTAGAGCTCAGGAGAATAATATCTAAAGCGACAATGCCCTGTCTTGTTCTGTAAACGAAGCATTATAGAATACATCTATTTCCACATGTCACGTACATATATATACATATAATATCTTCATCTTCACTTTCTTTTGTGAAAGTGGCGTACGCACAGTTGGGCCCAACCTATAAATACCTCAAGAAATACGTAACTAATAACATTCAGGAGTCACACGAATGCACATCGCTAAAAATTAGTATAGATGTGCAGGAACTCGAAGCTGTCGATTCTCTCTTGAAAATTCTAAAAATTCTCAGCGATCTCAAAAGCTTTGGGAAGCCAAGTCCACCCAAACTGGATCTCTTCTCCACCATCGAGTTCTCACACACCTTTAAAAATTATCGAGTATACTCGTCATGGAGAAGTGGCAGGATTTTGTGTCACGACGAGTATACTCGTCACGCGTAAAAAGCAGCGACCATTGGCTATTTAAATTGTAATTTTTGTGAAAAATAAAACATATTCTCAAATTTCAAGATGTTTAGAATATTTTGAGGCCAGGCCGGAATAAAACAAATAAATAAAAAATATGAATAATTTGAGATGAACTCATGCGTCCCGTATGCACCGGCTGAAACAGCTTATCAGTTCGCATAACGAATTTATTCATGCGCGATGATAACGTTTTTTAGATGTAGTGTAAAGGGGGCAAAAGCAAAAGTCGGAAAGCTGATTTATGATAGGGTTCCTTCAGGGATGGTCCGCCACGGGACAAATGCGTGACGCTGACCAGGCGCTGAGCCCATTGATGGCTGCTGGCCCGAAGTTGCCTAGCTATTTTTTGACAGTCACTAAAATTCATAGATATCCATAAAAACTAACCAATAAGAGAATAGATGTTAACCAAATAAGTAAATATTAGTAATAAAATTGTCAATTTTATAAAATAAACTCATCTTTTCGATCCAATATTTTAACAGCGACACTTACTCTGTGCTTGACGAGTATACTCGTCATCGCTCGATTTTCGCGACACATATAGGTGCGCGCTCTCAAAAGGGGGCGCCACTGCTAACTGGTTAATCCGCGGATCGCCGCTTCGTTTTGAGACTCCGGTTATCACTGTTACCTGCTCGTCACTCACGCCACCTTATCGGTAACCGGAGCTCGCATAGTCTTACGTTCTCTTAATTAGAACATGCTGAACGATCGAAATCCGCTTTGTCTTTTACAGGTGGTGACCAGTGCAAGCCCGTCCGCAGACTCCCTAACAGACACCACGAATTCCAGCTTTGCAACGCCACCCTTCAGCCTGTCGCCCGTAGGAGAGTCCCAAGGATTGTCGAGGTGGCGATCCTCGGCATCCTTCGAGGAGCAAGGCGTCGAGCTGCAGTTACCGGAGATCATCCCTCTGGAACTGCCGGATCCTCGCGAGCTCACGATCCAGAGGCAACCCCCGCCGAGGAACGATTTTGGTTTCTCCTTGCGTCGAGCCGTGATCGTGGAGCGAGCCGCAAACGGTGTCACGCAGATGAGACCCGTGATCTTCGCCGAACCCGGGTCGCTGATACAGCACAACAATGACACCGGTTTGCTGCCAGGCGACAGGCTGATCGAGGTCAATGGAATCAACGTCGATGACAAATCGCGCGAGGAGATCATCGACCTCATTAAGGGATCCGTCAACAGCGTCACCGTTAAGGTGAGTTTACACGTAATCTGTTCTATGGGGATAATTGACACCGCTGTTGTAAAGTCTGAGGATTATTATCGGGTTCTATGGATTTTATGTTTAGTTGTAGTTTAGTTTTCGAAGTCAGTTGTGTATTGTATGCGATTGACAAGGTGGCCCCGGTGGCTAGAGGCTTGGCGAGTACTGCGCGTTCGAGAGAAGAAGGCACAGCGTGTTTAGGCTGATACTCTGATGATCACAGACAGTGAGCCTTATTGACATATGACGGTCTGATGATGATCATGCGAGGACTGTAGCTAGGATGTAGCAGTATCGGTGTAGTCTTTCAATAGTAATGTTAGTTTTCTGTTTCTTAGAAGCTAACATTTAGATTTGTTGTGGGAGAAACTAAGCAGTAAAGTAACCTCTACATCCTAGCTATTGGGATTATGGGTAAAAAGAAATAACTATTGTTATACTATAATTAGAAAGCATCAGATTCATACGAATATTCATCATCGACTGTGTTAATCCTTGAAAGACCATTTCGGTGGTATTATTACTGACCGATTCGTGAGAGAGTATCAAGAGGTTTCGCGACACAATTCGTCTAAATCCCCAATTTTTATCTAATATTTATATAAATATTGGTCTTACAAACTATTTATGCATATCTTATATCCTAGATTGATTTTTGCGTATAACTAAACTTATCTTTTCAACACATTTCAATAAGAAAATTGATAAGTTACTTTGCCATTATTTCAATCCAACTTCACGCTATCTAGTTGTTAATCCTTGAAATACCGTTTCGATGGTATTATTACTCATCGGGAAGTACCATATTGCCGACCCCGTACCCCAGGTGAAACACGATGGCACCTTGACGCTTGGCTATCATATACGACAAGTACCTGGAGTATAGGGCAATAATTCAGTTCGTTTTTCCGTTTGTAACCTCTACCCTTGTACCTCAAATTCGGAAACTCCATCCGATAACAAAATACATAGCCCTACTAAGGGTCCATATAAATGCTAGACCTAATAGCACGCGGCATATAGAAACGCACGATATCGAGATAACGAAACAGTCCACTTGCTATTCGAAGCCAAACACAATCTCCTCAAAGAACCGTCCGTCGCTAATCGTCGTCAAGCAAGAATGACCTAGTGACGATATACACTAGTCTTCCACCATTGTCGTCGATTGTAGGAGACAGGGATAGTTTAGGAAGAGACTAATGTCATTTCTCGTTGCTAATACTATACGTCTGAGGAACAAATGAAACCTGACTTCGTATCACAGTAATGAAAATGGAATGGGAAAAGCTCTTTAAGCTTCAGAGCTTATACTGGCCTAAGTCTGTGCTGATCACAGTATTAAATACTTGACACCGATTCTATCCTAGTGTTTTATCACCGCGTTCCATTCGGTCTCGAAGGTGTTCGCTACCCACCTAGTCTCATACTGCAACGTGATCCTATTTGGAGATGAGACACTCTGAACCAATCACCAAACTTTGTAATTATCTCTGTCTATGATCATACTAGAGGTGGAGCTATTGCACTGGGGCTAGACTCACGTTCTTTCCAATTGCCAACTTACTAACTACGTGCAGTAGTTCGCAATTGCATCACGTCACACAGAGTGTGGCAAGATCAGGTCATGGCGAGAGAAATTCGATTATAGCTCGTGAAGCCTGAAGGCTTTCGGATCTGGAGTTTGGTCTCTGTTGATAGTTAGTTGTTGCAGTGTATTCTCAGGACAGGTGGTAGAGATGCTTGATGCTTGCTTGATGTATTATATTTTGGAATTAGACTGACAGAATATTGTAGATAAGAAATTGATTGAAGAAAGAACTGTTAACCCTTTGCAGTAGTATTAAATTTGGACTTGGGTGTCATACTGGTCCTCAATGACCGGCCCAGACTAGGACCAAAAGGTGCTATTTGTGTTAATTTGTTCACCATCTTTGGATCTAACTTTTTATTAATTTATATTTAGGCTAAAATATTACATTATACCATGCCGCATGGTATTCGTTAAAACAGTCTAAACATATTTGAGGTGATTTTGAGCAATTGGAAAAATAGGTCGTAGTTTTGTTTTACATTTTTCGCAATTGTCTGTCAATATGTTTACGAGTGGTAAAACTTTTCCAAGTCTGCTACTCTGTTCTATCCTTTCGTTATTTGCAAAATGCAAGTTCGCTAATAGTAATTCAAAACGATTACGGGACATCCTGCTGCGCGGAAATGGAAAATTGTAAGTAGGGTCCGTTGATCAACATCTAACGAGCGGTGTCTGTACTAGACACATTCAAATCATCAGTCCGATAACGTTCTGACGCTCAGACAGTCGGATTTGGGCCCCGCGAGGAACTCAACCGAATCGCGCTGGGTGACGAACGTGTTAATTAGGTTTTAAATTTCTTAATGGTATAAACGAAGGCTCGAGTTTTCCTGTGACGCGTGCTGCACGGTAGACTGCGGCAAAGTGTCCCTTCGAATCCGTCAGCAAGGTTCCCATAGGCTCTATGACACTAGCCCATTGCGTTATTCAGCCTAGCTTCGAGGAACCATTCAGCTCAACAATTTTCCTCGAAGCAAAATAGATCCCGATGCAGGGTGATGCCATCAAAAATAAAGATTCCTCTCATAATTATGAATTTATCACTGGACATAGGGTGAATTTAGTACGTATAAAGACAGAGGGAGACTGTTGTAAAAGGTAAAACTCACGTAGGAAGATAAATTCCAAGTGCAAGTTATATGATATGTTAATATATGCACATATTAGGAATTTTCGAATAATGGAATAATGTTTCACCAAGGTGAATAACGGAATAATGTCCGGAATAACGCTCGTACATTATGGCTTTATGGATACTTACTGGGTGACGGTCCCCGTTAATCCTCCGTTTACGACTCCCTCAGACCCGTATTACAACGACTTAATAGATGTTCCAGGCGAGATATATGTGTTTAATATCGTAGTTTACGTAGCTTCGCGCAATTCCTTGAAGACGAAGGTCAAATTAAACTAGGTGCACTGTTATATCGCATTTTCTCAACTTACGTGTCAAATATGCCTCTTCGAAGTTAGACCTCATCCTGAAATTTTGTAGCTCCATTTAGATGTATTTTCATGTATCATTGTATCAATTTTTGTGAAATATAAGTCTGAAGGATGAATTTAATCCAAGAATTTTATTGGTTATTCTAGGTACATTATTATACAGCGTTGTATCAGGTTATATAAAATACAGGGTGTCTTAGCAACAATAGTACAATCGCGAAAGGGGTGATTCTACATGAAAAAGCAAATCGAAAATAAAGAATAAAATTTTTTCATTCGAAGCGTCGTTTTCGAGAAAATCGGCTTTGAATATTCATCAAGTACACGTGCACTTAACTTTGGTTTAGGTGGATAGATCATCGATACAGCAGTATCGGTAGTATAACCGGCATGGGGGTGATTCTTCGTGAAAAAGCGAATCGAAAATAAAGAATAAAATTTTTTCATTCGAAGCTTTGTTTTCGAGAAAATCGGCTTTGAATATTGACCGAGTGCGCGTGCACTTAGCTATGGCTTATATGAATGGACCATTAATATATGAATATCGGTACTACAACAGAGGAGGGGGTGATTCTACATGAAAAAGCGAATCGAAAATGAAGAATAAAATTTTTTCATTGGAAGCTTCGTTTTCGAGAAAATCGGCTTTGAATATTCACCGAGTGCGCGTGCACTTAACTTCAGCTATGGCGGATGGACCCAGTATACCAGCGTACTCTGTGGATATTCAAAGTCGATTTTCTCGACAACGAAGCTTCGAATGAAAAAATTTTATTCTTTATCTTCGATTTGTTTTTTCATGTAGAATTATCTCCTTCCCAGTTGTACTACCGTTGCTAGGACATCCTGTATACCTAGTGTCTTGGTTTTAGGTTAAATATGAATCTTGAGAGTAGGTATAACCCTGGAATTTTGTTGAGTGATCTAGATGTACTGTTACATAATAGTGTATTCATTTATATCAAATATGAATCTTAGTAGTAGATATAATTCTAGAATTTTATTAAGTGATCTAGATGCACTGTCCTGATCCTAGGAGTAGACTAAACCTTAGAATTTTATCCTTTGATCCAAGTGTACTATAATGTAACATTGTATTAACTTATGTTAAATATAAATCTTTTGTTGGTTGATTATACATTATTATCTCAGCTTATGCCAGTAGACTTTATTCTAGAATTTTTTTGTAGATCTAGGTGATCTTTTATACACTATTTTGTGAATTCATATCAAATGTGGATCTTGGGAATAGACCAAACCTTAGAATTTTATCAGTTCATCCCAGTGTACTCTGATGTATTGTTGCATTAGCTCAAATTCAATATAGATATTTTATCATGTGGTTTAGATATATTATTATAGAGTATTTTAGAGTATATTACTTATTTAGAGTTTATTTTATAGAGTATATTTATATAGAGTATATTTAGAGTATTTAGAGTATATTATTATTATAGAGTATAGAGTATTATGTCAACTCATGCCAAATGTGAGACTTTATTCTTGAATTTTTTCGCTTAGTCTTGCTGTATTCTTAAACAGTATTGTAATATCAAACCATACCAAATATGGATCCTGTGTGAGTAGACCTAATTCTAAAACTTGGTCAGTTGATTGACGTGTACTGTTATACAATACTGTATCGTCTCATGTCAAATATGGATCTTGATAGAAATAGACCTATTTCTATCTAACATCTAACTGCTATTATTTTGATTAATGTAATTTAAACTGAAAAGTGGAATAGTACAAGTCTTGTAACACCCAGATCTGACTATGATGCCTGTTCTAATCTGACATCTTATTTTTTTTGATCCTGTGTGAGTAGACCTAATTAATAAAAATTTGTCAAGTGATTCAGGTGTACTGTTATACAATACTATGTCATCTTATGTTGAATAGACTTATTTCTACCTAACCTCTAATTACTATTGTAGATAGATATAGATTC